TCTCCTCTGAAGTCAGGAAGATTCCAAAACCCAGACACTATTTCCAGGGCTCCGGGGCAGTCAGGGAGTGTGTGCCCCATGCAGTGGAGATACAGGAGGGGTGGGAAGGACTTTTCAAAAAGAGAAAGGAGGAGAGAAGTTGGAGAGTGTTTTGAGGGAGAGGAGATGGTCCTGCCCGGTTTCTGCCAACTCCTGATGTTCTAGTAAGAACCTTGGAGGAGACATGCCTGGTGGGACCAGAAAAGTATTTGTTGATTTGTGAAAAAAAAAATGGTTTTCAATACACAGAGCCCGCACTTTAAGATTTGTCCTGCCAAATTTATGAAGAAAAGAAATGCTCCAGGGGCGCCTGGGTGACTCATTCGGCTAAGGGCTTGCCTTCAGCTCAGGTCATGATCCCAGGGTCCTGGGATGGAGCCCTGCATCAGGCTCCCTGCTCAATGAGGAGTCTGCTTCTCCTTCTTCCTCTGCTGCCCCTGCTTATTCTCCACCTCTTTCTCTGTCAAATGAGTAAATAAAATCTTAAAAAAAAAAAAAAGAAAGAAAGAAAAGAAACGCTTCAGGCGCAATGCCAGTGAAGGGCACATACGTAATCGCATCAACAAGAACAAACCTGAAATCAATTTTGATATGCCTTTACTGTATTTACATTAGCTTCCAGGGTTGATGGGACAGTCTTGCCAATAATAGCTTTTATATAAAATCGGCTTTAAGGGGAGAGGTAGTTGTGGTCTCGGGTTACTTAAGATCCAGGCCATAATTTCACAGCTGGAAACTCAACTTGCAATATCCTTTGTGTGAGCAGGTCCTTGAACCCAGGCCTTGGACTCAGGAATGGGTGGGCCTGAGCTGAGCTGCTCCCCGCCCGCTGCCTGGTGACTTGCATGCTGGGTGTACTTTTAGAGTAATGATGTGGTCAGAGGGACTGACCAATCCAATACTCACTTTTACATTCTTGCTTGGAAAAGTGAATTCAGATTAGGATCAGCTTTACTAATAAACACTCCGGAAATAATCAGCCACCTTCCCCGAGGCTACATTTCTCATGCCATGTCCTCATTCTGGGCATATGACTAATCTCAAAGCTCTGATAAGTAGTGTGTGTTCAACGTAAATTATAAACTGGATGTCATGCTGACATTCTGGCCTTATAGTGATGAAACAGGTATTTCCAGCTCTGTCAGGTCAAACTCAGAGCCTAATGAATACTCTTGGAGGTCTGTAGGTCATTCCTCACCCACTTGAATTTCAGTAACTTATCTTCTGTAAACTAGCATAAAATTACACACTTCAGGTAGTCATTTGGTTATTCCCATTGACCTAAGTAGGTGAATAATAAACTGCCCAAAGACTCACATTTTCCACTCTTGTCCTTTTCCAAAGGGACAGCTCTCCTCCTCAGGGGCCTGTGTCAGGTTTTATCGTTCCTACAGGCAGATTCTCTCTTAAATCCAGGCAGAGTCTCTCCTGCTTTAATTCAGTTTCCGCTTCTTGTTAGGTCTTCAGAAGTCATGGGGAATAATTGTTTGATGTCCCATCCTTAAACCCCTCCATGAATTTGAAAACATTAAACAGATTTATCCAGAAGCTTCCCTACCACAGGATAAAACCCTGATTCCTTTTAACTTTCAATTTTTACTCTGTTTCTTCCAATAGAGGCTCCTAAGTCCCCTCTGGTGTCTTCCTATTTCTACTGTGTGGTGATGTAGTCAGGACGCATTCAGGGGCTCATTCTCTTTCGAGGACAGTCTGCAGGCAGGTGACCCCAGCTCAAGTACACTATGGAGGAGAATGTCTATGCAATCTTGTGTCCGCCCTTGTATTGCAAGATCTCTGCCACTGTTCTGGAGAGCCCAGGCAATCTCCACGGAAAGAGGGCGTCTCTTCCCATGAGTCTCCCTGTACTATCAGAAAAGCCTTTTCCTAAAACTCAGCAGGTGACTTATTCTCAGACCTCATAGTCTAGAACTGGGCCACAGGCCCGGGGAAGGGTGCTGCCAGGATGGTGCAGACCAGTCACCACTCATGCCCCCCACTTCAACCCCACAAGAGGAGTCATTTCCTGAGCACATAGCTTTGTGCTTCAAACACAGATTTCAAAACAAAACTTCAAACAAAATCAAGGTTCTACCAGCAAGGATAAGGGCGGGGAGGGGCCATGGTCGCTGTTAGGGGTATTTGCCACAAGTGAGCAAAAATGGGGGATCAGGGGGTGCCTGGGTGACTCAGTCATTAATCGTCTGCCTTAATGGCTCAGGTCATGATCCCAGGGTCGTGGGATCGAGGCTCGTATCCGATTCTCTGCTGGGCGGGAAGACTGCTTCTCCCTCTCCCACTCCCCTTGCTTGCATTCCCTCTCTCTCTGTGTCTCCCTCTGTCAAATAAATAAATAAAATCTTCCAAAAAAGTGGGGGAGCAAAATGATTCTCTACATAGTTCAAAATATTAACAGTAACACAACAAAACAAGGAATAATTAAAAGCCCATTAAATGCAGGTACTGTGGGAGCTGGCAGGCAGGCAAAGATGAACGCCACGGGGGCCCTTGACCTGCAGACCTAGCTAACAAGCAAACGGGTCACCCCATGTCATTTCAGGATTGTGTGGTAAGTGATAAGAGAAAGGCATGCAGTGTTCTGGAAGCACGGAGCAGAATCCCTTAGCTCGACCCAGGGGTATCATTCCTGGGGAGGGGCCAAGTGGACTGTTTGTGGGTGCTGAGAATGAGCGAGAATGCATTAGGCTAAGAAAACAATGCTGGGGAGGAATTATGTGGTATGTGACTTCTGATTTTCTAATCTTTGTAGAACATTTTATATTTTATTATTATGGCTCCTCTACAGTTGATGAAATAGAAGATCCCCTTCAGGGTGGTGTGCCCTGCAAGGGTCATTTCCCATGAGTTCAGTTTTTCATATTTTGTATCTGGATGAAATCCATTTTATGATCACTGAATTCCATATTTAAACAAGAAAGCCACTCATCCAGTAGGAAAATGTGTGAGGGAGTGAAAATGAATGCGGTTCTAATCATTGTGATGTCACTGGCTCTGTAAATGGGTTTTGTTTTGTTTTTTTTTTAAAGATTTTTATTTTTATTGAGCGAGAATGAGTGAGAGAGAGCATGAGAGAGGAGAAGGTCAGAGGGAGAAGCAGAATCCCCAAGGAGCTGGGAGCCCGATGCGGGACTCGGTCCCGGAAATCCGGGATCATGACCTGAGCTGAAGGCAGTCGCTCAACCAACTGAGCCACCCAGACGCCCAATGGTTTATTTTTAAGTATTGTAAGACAATTTCAGTAATTGGAACTGAGGAGGAATCAGAATGAGTAGAAGTCTATTACATGGAATTGTTTTATTACTTTTACTTATGTGTATGTGAAGATAGGATGGCAGAGACTTGCTTATGAGGAACGTATGTTAAATTGATGAGTGATTTCCTTAGCATATTCATTACCTCCTTAAAAATGCTCTTCAGATGGTGGGGCACCTGGTGGCTCAGTTGGTTAAGTGTCTGACTCTTGGTTTTGACTCAGGTGGTAATCTCAGGGTCATGAGATTGAGCCCCACGTTGGACCCCTCACTGGGCTTGGAGCCTGCTTGAGATTCTCTCTCTCTCCTTCTCCCCTCCCACCTCCCCCAGGCTCTCTCTACCTCTTTCTTTCTCTCTCTCTCTCTCAAAAAAAAAAAAAAAAAAAAAAAATGCTCTTCAGATAATAAGAGACACTGGAAAACAAACTCTTCTTTCCTCCTGCATCTTTTTTTTTTTCTTTAATAGATGTAAACTTTAGCCTGGTTTGTGCTGAGCTTATTAGAGAAGTATGAATATGTAAAAAAAAAATCGCTTTTTTAAACCTTCTTAGATCCATCCTTGGAGTTCTGTAGACATGTTTTCGTGAGAACACCTTCCTCCTCTTATAAATAAATAAAAGATAACTGTTCCAATAAAACCCAAGCCTGCATTATAAACAGGCAATTCAGGGTAACAAATCATATAAAAAAGGGTTAGATTCCTTAACAATCAAAGAAATGAAAACTAAAACAAGATATCAATGAACGAATAGGCAAAAGTTTTTATAGAAGTATAAGTCAGTAAATAAAGTGCTTATGTCCGGGGCTGGTGAGAGGTTGGAGACAAAGAACTTGAGCCATCGTCAATGTGACTGCCCCATAGCCAAGGTAAAGAAGGACTGACACTGTAGAAACCTTCACTTTCTCTGTACTGTTTGCTTTTGTACAGTGTTAGTGAATTATCAGCAAGAGAAACATAAATTTTTCCAAGTGAGGGGAAAAAGTTAAAAAAAAAAAAAAAGAAAAGAAAAGAAAGGAGATCCAGTCCTCCGACTCCCTTTTGCATGAAGTGCTTCCAGTTGCTCCATGCGAAAACAAGGGTTGGCTGGCTCTCACCCAGCTCATCCAAGCTTATTCTCACCTCGTTCCATTTTAAATCCCACCTGCTAGGGAAGCCTTTGTAGTCAGACTGGGAATCTCTCCTCTGATCCAACTTATCTACCAAGGCTGACCCAACTTGAAAAACTGGAAAATAAAAATCAAAAACAGAACGTTCAAACGAGATGCTGAAAACTAGCCCAACCTGAACGTGAAATCAACACGTCTTATCCGTGTTCCACCACGTTTGTGCAGTCCACTGGAAGGACGGGAGACACAGGCTGGAGACCCAGCCCCCCCGTGTGTCCCCCCCAACACTTTGAACCCCATCATTTTTCTCACCTACTAATCAGATCTGTTCCCCTAACTTAGGAGGCCGATAAGAGAATCTGGTGAGGCAGGCGGAGTGCTATGGAAAGAGAAGATGATTAACCACGTCATTGTGTGAGCCCTGGAGGATAAGATTTGTATTGTTCGTTTGGTATGAATACTGCCTAAAAAATTAGGAGAACCCAAGATGTTCATTAACACAAATGTGCTCTGATTTTATGAAGAAAATGCAGTGCTAATCTAATCCTGACGATTTCTCTTTTCAATTTTTATTTTTCATTTCAGGATCTCAGCACACTTAAATGTCACTTAGATTCTTACATCACAGCTGTACCATAAGGAGTGTGAATTGCTACTGGGCCACCAATGGTACTTGTGTTGACACATTTTTCCAGCACTCCTCCCCCTCCCCTTTAATAATGAGAAGTTCCTTGTTACTGGTGAGAGCCACCTTAACATTAAGGAAAAGCAGCCCCTATGTGTCCAGGTGCTGGGAGTTTAGGAAAGAAATCTCAGGTGAAAGTACAAATCGGATGACCACTTCTTTCAGGGAACCTGGGAGAGGGGGCTGAGCAGCCCACATGAGGGGAAGGGGCCAAGCAGAGGTTTCTTTTCCACAGCCACAGCGACGATTTAACCTACTACTGTGCGGTTCTTCTTTACCATGTTTTAGATCTTGTTATTACTCTAGTTCCAGAACATTCCATGTGCTGATGCACCAAACAAGAGAGAGCAGTTTTCCTTATAAGTTGAGACAATATTTAAAGGGCAAGTTTGTCTACTGGTGTTGGCTGAATTGTGTCCCCCAAAATAGATACACTGCAGTTCTAACCCCCAAACATCAAAATGTGACCTCATTTGGAAAGAGGGTCTTTACAGAAGTAATTAAGTGAAAATGAGGCTGTTGACTAGTGTCCTTATAAAAAGGGGAAATTTGGACACAGAGACAGACACACTGAAGGAAGACGATGAAGATACAGGGAAAAGGGGCGCCTGGGTGGCTCAGTGGATTAAAGCCTCTGCTTTCGGCTCAGGTCATGATCCCAGGGTCCTGGGATTGAGCCCCGCATCGGGCTTTCTGCTCAGCAGGGAGGCTGCTTCCTCCTTTCTCTCTGCTTGCCTCTCTGCCTGCTTGTGATCTCTCTCTCTCTGTGTCAAATAAATAAATAAAATCTTTAAAAAAAAAAAAAAAGATACAGAGAAAATGCGGTGAGGAGACCGAGGGTTGGAGTGAAGCATGCTGGAGAATGCCTGAGGCTACCAGAAGCTGGGAGAGAAGCCTGGATCAGAGCCTTCCCAAGAGCTTCCAGAGGGAGCACGGTCTGGCTCACACCTTGATTTTGGACTCGGGGCCTTCAGAGCTGTGAGACGATCTGTTTCTATCTATTAAATAGATATCTGCCGACTTGATGATTCTTCCTTATGGCAGCCTTAGGAAATTAATATATCCACCCAAGTCATGCATTCTTAACAATGATTGGAAAAAATGAAGAGGGAAACCTCATCCCATTCTAGCAGTGGATACTTGGGTGACAAAATAAGGATCAGGAATGGCTTTTTCACTATCGTGGTAGATTTTTCTGGGAACACTCAGCCTGGAGTTCGTTCTCTTTCTGTGGAATGCAGAGAGCCAGTAAACCCTCCCTCTGCAGCATGGCGGAGAGGAGAGGTGCAGGGGCCGATGTGTAGGCTGGTAGGGAGCATATGGTCCCAATTTGGACAATTGCTTGGCTCTGTGCAGTATTCAAGGAGCCAACACTGTGCATACAGCTGCTTAAAGCCCAACATTTAGGGGTGCCTGGGTGGCTCAGTCAGTGAAGTGTCTGCCTTTGGCTTAGGTCATGATCCCAGGTTCCTGGGATCCAGCCCCGAGTCACATCATCAGGCTCCCTGCTCAGTGGGGAGTCTGCTTCTCCCTCTCCCTCTGCCCCTCCCCCCTCCTCATGTTCTCTATCTCACACACAAATGAATAAGATCTTTAAAAAAAAATAAAAAGCACAACATTTTACCAAATGGAGACAAAGACAGTGATAGGGTTCACCAAAGGGAATGAAAGCCCTAAGACCAGGCAGTGACTGATCTAACGCCAACCATGGAGACAGGAATTAGGGGCAAGAGGATTAAAAGCAAAACAGAACTGAAAATCTCAAGAATACCAGGATCTGGACCCTATCTGGCCAAGGACTTTTTCCTTTTGCTTTGTTTCTTCTTTTTATTTTTCTTTAAAATTTTCTTGGGAAGAATCACCACTAAAAAGTGGAATGCCAGTGCTTAATCTTTGTAGGTATATTTGTGGGAGTATAATTTATTCCTGTGTGTGTCATTCTGTTATATGGATTCAGTTCTCAGCTCATCCTTTTGTTATCTTCTTAAAAGAAGCCAGGAAACAGGGGCACCTGGGTGGCTCAGTCGTGTGCTTTGGGCTCAGGTCATGATCCCATCAGGCTCCCTGCTGCAGGGAAGCCAGCTTCACTCTCTCCCATTCCCCTGCTTGTGTTCCCTCTTTCGCTGTGTCTCTGTCAAATAAATAAATAAAATCTTAAAAGAAAAAAAAAAAAGAAGCCAGGAAACAAACCCCCAAATCCTCAGATATTATTAGAGAGAAGTCCCTGGACCAAACGGTCCCCTCGTGAAGGCAGCCCTGAGCGGGCAGACCCCAGGTTAAAGCTGCCTTACCAGAGATGCGCTCTGCTCACACCCAACCTCAGTCTGTGCCAAGGCTGGACAAAGGCCTCAGCCCTGAGCCTTTGTTTTCATTGTCCTGAGACCCAGCTCTTTTCTCCTTTGTCTTAAGAGTAGGCCAGGGTGGGAGCGGCAGAAGGACTGACATCAGAGAGGATCCTAGCAAAAAATGTTACAAATTTAGGGTAATTTCCCCTTATTTACCTCACCCTAAAAAGGGAAAGAAAAAAAAAAAAGAAGAAAAAAAGACTTCTTTTGTCAAAATAAAAAAACATGTGAAAAGTGCAAGTTTGTTGTTGTTTTGAAGATTTTGAACAGACGAGGTGTTTTCCTTGGTACTGAGTTTCAAAATCAACACACTGACACCTGCCTGAGAAAGGAAAAACGAAGTCAGCTCTGTCATCATCCTTCCCCAGCAGCGCTCCAACGCGAAATGAAAAGCATCTCCTTGGCCCCTGCTGCCCCCAGACTAAGCTCTGCACAATGCTCCAGGACCCTCCCTGGCCACCCTCAGCCACCCTCCTCAGCCCAGGTGTCAGGAGGGGAAGGAGGAAAGGTCACGTTGTTTGTACATTTGGTCATCTTGCTACTGCTACTGTGCTGGTGACATTGTTTTTCGGAGAGCTTGTTGTTCGTCAGGCTTTTAAAAACTTAAATTACGTTTCCTTTTTTTCTTCTTCTTCTATTTCCTGAAGGATAAGAGAGAAGCCAACTTCCCGCAGCGGTGACTGTCACGGATTTTTCCTCTGCTGTACAACTGAGGGGCTGCAAGGCAGTTCTAAAACGCGTGATCTATTTATAAACGTATCTAGAAATATTTTTTAAATAAAAAATTTTAAAAAGTCAAGAGTGGGGCTGGGTCACACCCAAGTCTCCAGAAGGGAGATGTGTATTCTGGAGGGGGGCATTAGCTCCCCGCCAGAGGTGGTTTTAAAGTAATTTAGGGTCAAGTGGAAACTGATTATACTTACCTTCTGTATCTGATTATAGTGACCTTGGTTTTTGGTTCTAAAGAAGCTGGGTTCTAGCTTTCCGGGAAGCTGATCTGAGTGGCTCCAGACTTTAAACGTACTCCTGTTTCGTAGTGTCTCAGATGAATGCTGACCTGGCTGGTATTTAAGGAACAACTTCGTGTTTGTCCATTGTCGCTGCCCCAGCACTCACCTTGACTTCCTCCTGCTTCCTTCCCTTTGTGTTGCCTCAGTCTCTGGCTGTGACACTTGCAGGCAGTGGAGGAGACTGCCCCAGGGACCCTGGGAGGATGGGGAAGTCATTAGTATGACTAAACTTGCCCTTCCCAGGTTCAGTCCACCACCTTTCTATTCTCTTGCTATTCTGTCCTTTCTCTTCCAGGCTAGATGGAACACTTCTTTTGTGGCCTTAAGTCGGGGGTAGGGAAGGGGTGTTTGGTCAAAGGGCATCGAGATGGGAACAGGAGAATCAAGGAGAGGAAACAAGGGGCGCAGAGATAAAGAAATCAGAGCTAGAAGAAGAGAAATAAATAGAAACAAAGACGATGAATAATACCTGATACAAAAAAGGGAGCAACGTGATAAAGAAGTGAGACATAGAGATGGTCCTGCAGAGAGAAACAATTCAAAAATAGAAAAAATGTGAGAAACCTGAACACAAACAAACTTAGAAGCCCATGCAGGAAAGGAAAGAACCAAATGGAAGTAAGAAATAGAGCCCCAAACAGGAAGGACGTCTGAATGAGAAATGCGATTGAGGGAAGGAACAGAGAAGCCTTTGTGGCGTGTTTGTAGACCAGAGGGAGAACGACAGAACAGAGGGAATCCAGGAGTGTTTATTCCTTGCACCTAGCAAACAAAAATTCATTATTTTTTAATCATGGAAGAAATAGCTCTAAGAGCACCGGGCCTTTCATGCAATCGGTCTGTCTCTCACTCATCTTAATCCCTCAGGACTCCTTCAGAAGTGTGAGGAAACCCAGCATGAGGAAAACCACATTTCTACCCAGATGACTTTTATATAAAGTTTATTTTAGAGAGATAAGTTCTCACAGTCCTTCAAGCTGAGTTCCCTGTCCCGGGTGGTAAAAGATCTCGAGCTTTTTAGTGCCTATAAATCCCAGGGTAAGTGACAAAAAATATCTTGGTTCCTGAGGAACCTGGGTGGCTCAGTTGGTTAAGCTTTGCCTTCCGCTTAGGTCATGATCCCAGAGTCCTGGTATAGAGCCCTGCATTGGGCTCCCTGCTCAGCAGGGAGTCTGCTTCTCTACCTGCCTTTCTGCCCGCCTCTCTCCTGCTTGTGTGCTCTCTCTCTCTCTCTCTCTCTCAAATAAATAAATAAAATCTAAAATAAAAAAAAAAAAACCTTGGTTCCCAAAAATCTGGATTAAAAAAATGAAATAATTATTTGCATGACTCTCATTTCAAAAGACTGCCTTACTGTTAATAAGTTAAAAGTTGTCTTTTAAGTTTAAATAATTTAACAACTGGAGTAATGAAAAAATGTAAGTAAAGCATAAATGGATAAACGCAACACATACTCAGGAGAAGTAAAGATCAGTTATTGCATTATTGCAAACTGCTGTTACTGAACATTATGATAAATTGCCAAAAAGATGCTTCTCCACCCCCTTCTATAATTTTAGGTTATTAATTTTATTCATATACGAGTAACTCTTTACTCGTGTGCCTCCCTTGCCCTATTTCTCTAATGAGGAAACAGAAGAAAGTAGGCAGTAGACAAAATACTCCAATTGGAACTGAAGCAAATGAGAAAAGATAGCAGAAACAAATAACATTATCAGCTTTTAGCCCCATAATAAGCTCTTATTTATTTAGATCCTATTAATTTGGAATTTATAATAACTTGATTGGGATCTGGGCAGAAATTTTCCTTCATTTAGCAAACTCTGTCTTCCTAAGTAGTACAGAAGAACGATGTAAATGAGCTTACAAGGGGAATGTTTGAAGTACATCTTTGAGCACTTCAGGCAATCTCATATATGAATAATTAATATAAGAACACATATCATCCTTATCCAATAATTATCTGGTAATTCAGAAGGAATTTGTTAGGTCACCCTGCAGAGGAGGGAGCTGTGGGTTTATCACCGAGTAGCTCTATGACCATAGGCAAGGCACCTAACTTCTTCCAGGCCTTGTTTTTCTTGCCTGTAACATGAAGCTGATAACATCATGTCTGCCTAGTTCAGGGGCTTCTTAGGAACGTGAAAGAAGACAATGGGTGGGAACCCATTTTGAAATTCATACGGTATTACGAAAATCTGTGTTATTTAAAATGAATTTACAATTCATACTTTTCACTAATTCAGTCTGACCTTCTTCTGTCCAGCTGTGTACAGCAAGTGAGGTTTTTACGCTTTATGCGGCTTCAGTGAAAGGAAATTCCCCAGTGAAATGTTGTGTTTGTGTGTACACACACACACACACACACACACACGCACATGGATATAAATACTTACCCTCTTTCTATGCCTCCTATCCCCAAAAGATCTTTGGTGTCACTTTATGTACTAAATGTACATACCAGCTTACAACTGCAGAAGCTTGTGTGGACTTGAAGGGGTCTAAGCGTTGGAGTCTGACAGGCTTGGGTTCAAATTCATGATCTAGATGAGTTAGCTTAAACAGTGATCTCCTTCAGCCCCAGTTTCATTGTGTATAAATAAAAATAAAAATACTAAATGGACAGAACTTTTGTAAAGACTAGGGGAGATAATGTACATAAGCATAGTGCTTTAGAGATAATGATGATTAATATGAAAGATAAGTTGCTTTAAGAAGATACTCGGGATTTGTCCCTTTGAATCTCCTACTCCTAGTACAGCTTAGCTCCCAAAATAGGAAGCCAAGTGGAGTACTCATCACAGTGTCTGGTACAGTTTTACTTTTGTTTTTCACACATAGAAAACCTGTATTGCTGTTGGTGAAATGTATGTCGCAAAGTATCAAAATGATGTTTCCTCAATTTTAAGACACTTGCTTTTTCACGTTTGAATGTTTTGGAAATCAGAATGAGCTTTAGAATCACTGTCAAAATAAACACGTCGACTGCTAGGTATAGGAGTCTCTAAGAGCAATAGTCATTTGCTTGTGATGGGTGAATGCAGACAGCTCTTTCAGAATAAAGAATTTTCAGAGCCAGGGAGTACTGGTGTTTCTGCTTCACTCAGCTGCAAAACATCTGTCTGTCAGTTTTTCAAGAGAAGCTGTTGAACTTCCTGCAAGATATAATCAATTAAAAAAAAAATTTTAAGGTTTTAAGCCAGGTGCCCCAGAGGTCAAACTCACAGGCACTTTTCGGAAATGGTCACCTCTGCTTGGCAACTGCCAGTGTTCCAGTGAATCCAAGGAATCTGTAAATATGAGTGAGGATGGTGGGTAATTATGTGAATGAAATGTGTGCTGTTTGTTGGTATATATATATATATATTTTTTTTTTCTGTGTTGCATTTCTGGTTTTCTCTCTCTGATTGAAACTGTCATTTTAATTAGATAAAGTAATCTTTCTTCTAATTGACAGACTCAGCAGAGATATTTCTTGCTTTTAAAGTCATGGGTTAATATATAATTAAATTTATACTTGAGATGTCTGCACTTTTACTGTATACATGTTACATACTTCAATACAATGTTTAAAAAGTACAGAAAGATGTTCCTGTGTATTTAGCTTGAATAACTGAAGATGTATCAAAATGTACCAGTTATAGCTTTGGAACTAGAAGATATAATTTAAGTTTATTTATTTTTTTTAGTAATCTCTACAGCTGACATGGTGAGAACTCATGACCTAGAGATCTAGAGTTGCATGCTCTACTGAGTGAGCCAGCCAGGTGCCCCTGAACCAGTAAGTATAATTAACCATTTATCGAACATACCTTCCTGGCTAAATCCTAGGCACTTTACACATGTTATTTAATAATAATAATGCTAATATTTATTAAGCATTTTACTCTGTGCCAGGTACTTATCTGCAAAGGGGTGTACCAACATCTCATTTAATTTTTTTAAAAGATTTTATTTATTTATTTGACAGAGAGAGATCACAAGTAGGCGAGAGGCAGGCAGAGAGAGGTGGGGGAGGGGAGCAGGCTCCCCGCTGAGCAGAGAGCCCAAAAGGGGCTAAATCCCAGGACCCTGGGATCATGACCCAAGCCGAAGGCAGAAGTTTTAACCCACTGAGCCACCCAGGCACCCCTCATTTAATTTTTAAAAGACCTTATGAAGAAATGTTTATAGAAGACACATATAAGTTAGTTACTTATATGAAAACACACAGTGGGAATATGATCAGGGAAAAATGAGAATCTGGGCAGTGTGACTCCAAAGGCTTGCATTTATGTACTTTTTCACAGTCACACTCAAAAATATACACATTAGGTTCCATTGTTTTTACTTCACAGATGAGCATTCCAAAACACAGAGAGGTTAAGTACTTTTGACTGTATCACACAGCCTGTACCTGGGACAGCTGAGATTTGTACTTGGCCATATCTCCAAAGACACTCTTGGCTCCTCTATCACAGACAAGGTAATGCTTTTCCTGGGGAGGACGTGTTCTTTAGACATAGCTTTCTTTTACATCATATCACAGTGCAGCCTAAGAATAAGGATGGGCTGGGGTAGAGGGGAAGGGGAGAGAACCAGAGGAACAGCTCTTAGAACTTGAGAGGAGTTGCTACTGACCTCCGTAGTCCTGGCACTCCACAAATTGGAATTTTTCTCTTGCAGTAACCTTCTTTGGGTACAGTTGCTAATTAAATTTAGTTCACATCCATTGGGATATTATGCCATCAAGTCTCTCTAACTTGGCAATATATTTTCCATTCTGCCCCTCCCCTTCCTCATTTGCCCCTGTATACCTACCCCCTTTGAAAGAGAAAAGAAAACCAGAAACTAATAAAGGACTTTAAGAAGTATATTCCTCAAGCTTGGAAGCCCCACACAGGCAGTCCCTGTTGTCCTGCTCAAAGAGGGACCCACCCGGGGGGAAGCCAAGCTGTGCTCCTTGATGCCAGCCTGGAAGGTGAGGCCTCTTTGAGCTTCCTCTGTGACTTACCCTTTGTAAATTAGTTCTAAGCCTTTGAGATTCCAACTATACCAATTTTAAAAATGCTAGTTTCAACAACAATTTATTTTGGGCCATTTCAGTTGGCTGCACTTTTCTTTATTAGTAACCAAAAATTATGATTGGAGTCACCTCTGCTACCCGTGGAAAAAAACCTTCATTTCTCCCCACTCTGAGGACATTTATAATAATGACTTGCGACTTGCAGTGGAGAGGGAGCACTGAAAATCAAAGTACTATTTTGGCATTTTTAGCATTTCAGAAAGCATGCAGTACTTGTAGCTTAAGACATTTCGAAGGAATTTTCTAAATGTTGGGTTCTTGAGACAAAGGGGAAGCAGATATTGGAACAATTTAACAAAATTGCCAATCTTTTGGAGGAGTTAACCGACTAGAATAATTTGCTGGTAGGAACATCTTCTTTCTGTGAGGTTCAGTCTTCATAAATGTCCCTTACAGTAGTGCATATTACGAAGAAAGGTGATCCTTTCAGATCAGCATCAACCTAAGCAATAAAAAAAGTTTCAGTGAGACCTCTCATTAACAAAATTTATGAAGTAAAAGGTTTTTAAAAAATTCCACAGCCCACATGTTTTGAATGTTTGTCCTTTTAAACAGTGGATTGAGGGGTGGGTCATTTTTTTTCTTTGTTCTCAATTTCCTTTTCAGTTGCTACATAGTGACATGGCTAGCACCTTCAGCCATCAAGAGGGTCAAAAAAGAAAATAACACGTCCCTCTGGATTCTAGAAACGGGTCTGCACCCCAGCATCTGTTAGCTCGAAGTCAAAGCCCCATGAATGCTGGGATTCCAAGCTTAAACCTCCACTCACGGGGTGCCTGGGTGGCTCAGTGGGTTAAGACTTTGCCTTCAGCTCGGGTCATAATTTCAGGGCCCTGGGATCGAGCCCCAAATCGGGCTCTCTGCTCAGCAGGAAGCCTGCTTCCCGCCCCCCACCGACCCCCGCCTCCCTCTCTACCTACTTGTAATCTCTGCCTGTCAAATAAATAAATAAAATCTTTAAAAAAAAAACCTCCACTCACAAGCAAAAGGGTTAGATAGGAGGTGGGGGCAAGAAATTATTTTTAATTAAAGAAGTGGAATCTAAAAGCAATGGTTATGAAAGTTTAGCTGAAAAATGCTAGCCTTTCCAATGCATTTGAATATTAGGAACCATGATGTGAATGTCCCTTTTCATAATTATTGCAGTGGGGGGAGCCATCGTCCACCCAGGGCACATCCTTCATCTGGTCACCAGACAAGAGAGGCTCACTCAGGTGGTTCTGGAAAAGCGTCTGTTTAATAAGGTGGGTCTGTTTGTGAAACCCTGGGATGGGTCTGAGTTTCCTGGGGCAGAACTCTTAGGTAGGACTCTTAGGAAAACCGGAATCTGCAGAGCATTGAACAACGTCAAATACTTGCCAGTCAGTCAGGGCCTCCCCAGCCACAGCTGCACTGATAGGGCACCAGCAGGACGTCCGATGCTGGAGCCTAATGCTGGGTTTACGAGTTTCCATGTTAGCGCCAAGTTCAAATGCCTGCTTTGCCACTTACTTGCCGTGTGATTTAGGGAGATTTATTTAGCAGCCCTAAGCCTCACTTTTGTCATCTGTAAAATGGGGATAGTAATGGTCACTCTCTTGCAGGGTTGTTTAAGGGCCAATGTATGTAAAGCCTTTTAGCACAGCACCTGGCACATCCCGTGTGCTAATAAATGATTGAAATGTGTTTTTATCCTTTTATTACTTAGGCCATTTTTAGCTGCATGATTTGAATGTTGTGATGACACCTTACAAAACAATGCTCACAACTTTGAGGTTTCATGAGTAGCCGGAAGCTCGAAGTTCTGCGCCAGGAAAGGGGACTTGCTGGGTCTTCCATTTCCTTTTCCATAACTTGGCCCCTCTGCACTCCCCAGGCTCTGAACTCTATCTGTGGGACTCTGAAAAATGCAAAAGGGTGGGAGGGAGACAAGTACCAGCTGAGGAAGCTGGTCCCACCCACCCTCCATCCTCAGCCTCCTCAGTCCTCTGCTGTGTGGCCTTCGGGCCGAGGACTATGTGTGGACAAGAAAGCCACTGTCACTGGACCTATGAAGGCACCCAGCTGGGAGCAGGCAGCATCAAGAGTGGCGTCCAGAAGGACAGTGTCCAGCAGAGCTGACATGGGTTGGCTCATTCGGAGTCTGGACTTTAGATCAAGTACGAGAAACTGGTTCCCAGAGTAAAACCCAAGACCCAGCAAGGAGGACGGTCCCTAAGTCCATTCCAGGAGCTTATTCAGGCTTTCCAAGTTTCTCCCACCTTCCCACAGGGAACTCAAAGAATAGGGCCTTCCTTCCTTCCTACTCTGACCGAAGGCCTGTTGGTCAGCAATGGCCTCAGGGAATTGTAAACCTGTAGGAGAAAGAAATCACAGGCCAGGGCTGCAAACAGGCAGTTCAGTGAAAATCTATTCAATTGGAGGAGGCCTGCAGAGCTCTGTACTCAGCTCCGGAAGCAGCGTGGGAGGAGCCTAGCGGCTGCCCCGAACACCAGCCCTCTTCAGCTCTTTTCTCTCTTCTGTGAAGCCTACTTCAAATCTTCTCCTTTCTTAAAAATCAATAGGGAAAAGACCAACTACCTGGTAGAAAAATGGGCAAGGACATTATATTAGTCAGCGTTCTCCAAAGAAACAGAACAATAGACTCTATATAGACAAATAGATTTATTATGAGGAATTGGCTGCATGATTATGGAGACTGAGAAGTCTTGAGATATGCTGTCTAAGCTGGAGACGCAGGAAATCCAGTGGTATAATTCAGCCAAATATGAAGGCCTGAGAACCTGGGGGAGAACGGGGCGGGGAGGGCTGATGGTGTAAATCTCAGTCCCGGGACAGGAGAAGATGACACACGCAGCTCAAGCAGTGAGGCAAGACAAACCCGCAGGCGAGTTCCTCCTTCCTCTGCCTTTTGTTCTGTTTAGGCCCTCACGGTATTAGATGATGACCACTCAAACTCGGGAAGACAATCTACATTACTTAACCTACCAATTCCAATGCTAATCTCATCTGGCAACACCCTCGCAGACACACCCAGAAGTAATGCTTCGTCTAGGACCCTGTGGCCATTCACCTTGATCAGTAAAATGAACCGTCTGGGATGTGAAAAGAGTGCAAGTTCACTGCTACACATTTTCCCTAGTAGACACTCTCCCATGGGCAAAATAAATAGATTAAAGAAGGTATCCTTCAGGGGCGCCTGGGTGGCTCAGTGGGTTAAGCTGCTGCCTTCGGCTCAGGTCATGATCTCAGAGTCCTGGGATGGAGCCCTGCATCGGGATCTCTGCTCAGCAGGGAGCCTGCTTCCTCCTCTCTCTCTGCCTGCCTCTCTGCCTACTTGTGATCTCTCTGTCAAATAAATAAATAAAATCTTTAAAAAAAAAAAAAAAAGAAAAGAAGGTATCCTTCATAGTGGGGTGGATTTAGTGAATATTTTTATTTTGGCCAATCCGATAGGTAAAAAAATGAAATCCTGTTTTACTCTGGATTTTTTTAACTGTGAGGAAAAGAGTAAGTTCATTCTTAACAGATATTCTTTCCTTGCACTAACAGAGAAATAGAAACCTCAGTGAGAACATCTTCAACCCATTCCCACAACCAAGCCTGTGCTCTTTCCTCTCCCACACTTGCCTTGACACTTTCTTTACCTTCCCCAGTCCCTGGATGCCATCCCCAGCGTGGCCTAGAACTTTGCCTCTCTTTGTTGAGCTCTCAGCCCCTTGTCCCTCCTGAATTTTTAGCATTGATATTTAAATTCACCAGAGTCTCCCAGATCTAAAACTACCACCCAGCAGCTGCCCCAGACCCTCTTTTCCTCTTTTTCATTAAAATTATTGAAAGAGGTGTCTACACTGCCACTATTACCAGCTCCTCTACCTATGCTTGCTCTGCAGTCTGCCTTCTGTCTCTACCACCCTCCTTGAACTTGCCCCTCCAAAATCACAGTGACTTCCATGTTGCTGAAATCACTGGACACCTCTTCTTGAACATTCTCATCTGCTCCTTCAGCTAGCTTCAGTTACCATATCTCTATATTTAGTCTAGATCCCTCAATAGCTAACTAGCTTATTAAGTAACTAACTTGCTGGTAGAAACCTGTCTGATACCACCCCATACCCCACCCCCTCCCCTACCCTGTGCTTTCTCTCTCACTGGACAACTCTGTCTTCCATTCAGTTGGCCAAGCTGCAGACTTGGGAGTTGACCTGTCACCTTACCCCTCCCCTGCTCCCCTATGGCCAACCTTGCAGTTATCCTTTGAATCTTCCCCTCAGCTACTATCCCGGTTCAGGCCACCAATTTCTCTGGGTCATTACAACATCTTCTCCTCATTCGATTCTCCACACTCCCTGCTATAACCCTTTCAAGGGCTTCCCCCTAACCTCAGGATAAATTCCAGATTCCTTAACATGATTACAAGACCCTTTGGGACCTGGTCTCATTCACCAACCCCCCTCTTGCCTTCTAAGACCCGGTGGTTTTTTAAAACCCACCATTCTTTCTTACTCTGAGTCTTTGACTATGGCATTCCCTCTGCCTCTTTCCTTGTTCTCTTCTGTGGGATAACTACTCATCCTTCAGGTCTTGGCTTACAGCTCTCTTCCTCCGGGAACTCCAAATTTGATTGTTTCTTTAGTCCAATTCTTCCAATAAGATTGAAATTTAAGATGGAATTTATGACACCCCCCCGCCCAGTGTATCACTGTGCACCCTACCACAGTCTCTGGTACTAGTAAGTGCCCAGGAACCATTGCAAGAACTGTTGAATGTGTGATCAATCCCCACTTCCCAAAGCATTTTAACAAAGAACCCTAAATAGAGTCTTGCTGATTTTGTGGAATCATTAGGGGAGAGAGAGTTTAGCCAGAGGTACCCTACAGAGTTAGAATTGTAATTCTAACTAATTTGTTAGAACTGTTGTCTGGTGATAGATTTTAGAATTTATGGTAATTTTGCCATACTGCATCCCCTCATCTTCCTTTTAAAAACTCTGTGTGTGTGTGTGTGTGTGTGTGTAAATGCACATATGTGTATCAGAGAACAGCTCTGCCAAGTTGGTTTGTGTAGTCCAGTAGTCTGAACTAAAAATCTGTGAGAAGATTGTGTTTTAGCAAGTTTTCCAAAAATAATCTTGAGGCAAGAGAGTAGGAACTGTGTATTTAAAAATGTAGTTTAGTGGCAGCTGTACATAAGAACAGATCGTATTGCTTAAATTTTAACACAAAGATACCCGAAGTGCACTGTTGAGATAAGACAGTGTACACGTTCAGAGGCTCAAAGATGTCCAGTGTCAGAATTAGGAGTGTCAATCTTTGGCAGAAGACAAAGTGTCTGGAAGCTAGAAAACATGCCTGTTTGCTCAGATTAATTCTGAGAAGGGGGGATGGAATCAAGGAGCATGGGATTCCAAGCAAAATTCAGACAGAATTTCTAGGAATGCAGTCCGAGTGAAAGCAAACCTTTTAGCAACTGAAAGAATTTAAATACCAGGTTGAATAAATGAAGGAAAATGGTGGAAAGGAAGGAAATGGTGGAGGCCTAGCTTTTAAAAGAGAACCAAAGTAGTTCGGTCTTAACGGACCACACGGAATTCCCAATAAGAGGAAAAGAAGGCAAGAGAACATGAGCGCTCACACTGGGTTTCCAGAACTGTAAGGAGGTCCCCACAATCCGCCCAAGCTCCCCACCTCTAATCGGTCCCCTCAGGAGCCCCCTCTGCCGGAACCCTTCTCACCTTACCCACACAGAAACCTGGGATTCTCTTCACTTCAACCACCAGCCTGAGTCTTTTCAGTTCTTGCCACTTAATAGCTATAGGGTCTGTTCGTCCACAGCCACTAGCCAGGTACAAGCCCTCTGCTACTGCCTGGCCTTCAGCCTGGCCTCAGGGCAGGAAGGAGCGTCTGAGCGTCTGTGCTGTCGGGACTGAGTGCTGAGCCATGGGATCTGGAGATGGACCGCCTGGTCACAGCCTGGTTCCAGGACTTTCTAGCTAACCAATGCTGGCCCAATTTTTCTGTGTCTTAATCTCCTCTTCTGTGGAAAGTGGGGATAGTAGCATCTGGCCCATAGAGCTGTGTGAGGATTAGATGAGCTGTGTATAAAGTTCATAGACCAATACTTGGTCCGTTGTAAAACATGTTCCATAAACATTAGCTACCATGATTCCTTATTTCCTTATTCCCTCGCTTCCTTTCTTGACTCATTTCAACCTGGAGCAATCATCTTCAAATAAACTCTGACCCTTCAACTTACTGCTGAAAACACTTGGAGAAATTCCCTGTGGCTTGTAGGGAAATCCTAAATGCTGAAAGAGGCCTACAGACCCTTTGTCCCTCTCCAGCCCCATCCTGTACCCCATCCCCCTGTTCTCAGAGCTCCAGACACTCTGACCTTCTTTCAGTTCTTCAAACCCTTGCAGCTTCCTCTCACCTCAAGGCCTCTGCACAAGCTGCTTCCTCTGCCCGGAATGCCGACTCATCCTTCCCGTCTCCGCAGGAGCCTCCCCACTTCCTCAGGGAGACCTCGCCCGGCCTTCTTAACTGGGTCAGACCTCACTAGAGGCCCACATTTTTCTCCTCCATAGTGCTTCTCGGGGACCCTCTCTGACACATTTTCATGTGGTAATTAGATTTACCTATCTCTCCTCCTGACAGTGGAAGCTCTATGGAGGGAGAGACCATGTCTATTTTTCAATGACTCCAACCCTCAGAGCCTAGCACATCTCCTGAGTGTAACATGGTTGGTGCTCCATATCTTTAAGGTATGGAAGAGAGGGAGGGCGGGCGGGAGGAAAGGAAAAGTCATGCCCCAGTGCCCTTGCCTTTTCTGGAGGCCACCCTGCCCTGAGGGTTTGTGGTGGTTGCGAAGAACCTCTTCCTTCCACTGCCCGCCGCCTTTGATCCATTTCTGTGCTTCATTCTCAATGAAATTCCAGTGTTTGTTCTTAGGAAAAATGGTCCAAACATTGGCATTAAAATGTGAACTTTGAATGCAATTGGTAGCCTATTTTTTCTCATACAGATATTTTGTGGCTCCAAGAAAGGGCAAGGTCATCAGTGTGATCCAATGGGATTCCCTGACCAGCCCGCCAGCTTGTTTCCTGGTGTTTCTGACACAAAAGGGAGCCACAGCATGAGCTCTGGCCCAAGCAGAAGGCAGTGGAAAGAAGAGTGGAGAGAAAGGTCTTCCAGGTTCACCATTGCCACCACCTAGGGAAAGTACTAAAGAATGAGAGTAAGCATAAGCAAAAGGACTCAGTTCTCTGAACTAAAAGCAGAAGAGAGGGGGGCATTCCTCTCACCGCATGTGGGTGAGCATAGAGGAACTCCAGAGGACTCAGAGAATGAAGGAATGTCCGAGTGGAAAGGGATGTTTTGCCCTCAACCCAACCCCATTCTTACCTGCAGGAACCAGCTGAGGGCCAAAAAAGGGATGGGCCCTGCCCGAGCTGGCACAAAGGCTTGGACTCCCCCGGGGGACTGGAGAGGGACCTGAGGTTTCTAGTGGTTTGTGCTTTGAGCTCTTATCCAAAATGTAGATACTTCACCCTGGCTAAATCCTTCCATAATTGTGTGGAGTCATTTTATCACCCCCATTTTACAGATAAAAACACTGGAGCTCAGGAAGGCCCGGCACAAAGATGAAAGCTGTTCGGTGGGAACATTCTGAGGTTAACACTGCCAAGTATCCTTGGCCTTGACTCTGCACTTGAGCAGCCTTGTCTGCAGGGGGACCACAGGCTCTGTTTTACCCAGGTCAGTCCTGGTTTACATTTGTGGTCGCACTATCAGTAGGAACAGCACCTGCTTTTGTTCTCAAAACATGCCCCAGCTGGGATAATACATTTACTGGGTGATCACTCTAGTGTCTACAAAATGGGGTTATTTGTATCACCTGCTCATGGAGTGGTTGCAAGGATTCAATGGGATTTTGCACGGAAAATGCATGGAATCTGGCACATACTGCTAAATAGATGCTAGCTGTTGTTACTATTACGGTTCCCATTAGGAAGGCATTGGAAGAGGGATCAGGAAGGAGTAAAGCCACGCTTTCCCACTAGATGCGCCCATCATGGTCTGAGAATGCCGCTCCCTGGAGTCATGCAGCTCCCACTTCAAACTGACCCTCGGGGGTGGCACCTCCCCCACCCCCACCCCCGCCCTAGCCTAGCATATGGAGGCACTTAGCTGGCCTCGTCCACCTCTCCGCCAGTCACATTCAATGCCTGGGTCTCCTTGGGTCCAGAAGGGGAAATGGTGTATTTTTTTTTTTCTTTTACTCTAAAGTCTAGAGCCCAGATTCTGAGGAAGAGTCACACAGAGAATCCTACAGAGGATCCCCTCCCCCAACCCCAGTCTGTGCTTAATTAAGTGAGTGGCTTAAGGGACTTGCCTCCTCTTCAAGATTAAGAGGTGGGTGTGAATATTTTCCTCTGGCCCCCTTAAATGTTCTTGATTACAGTAATAAAAATGCTAAGCTCTATTGCTTCTCGTCAGAGTAAAGGCAGCTGAAAACTCCTCATTCCCTGAAGAACCTAATTGTTGATTCTAGTGCGTCTAAACAGGTGTTCTTTAGATTGCTTTTTCTAATGCCTTTTCACTGGAAAGATCAATTTAAATGTTGCTTTGAGCTAATCAGTGATTGCTTCTGTATTCATCCAAATTTATATCTTTGCTTCTGTGTGCTAGATGAGACATTACTTTCAAAGTCTATAAACTTAAATAAGGTAGGTGATTTTTAATTTAGCTCTTTGTCCTCTTCTGTCTTCCATATTTTATACAAAGTATGGGTATATTTCTTTTATTATTTAAAATCCTAGTTCAAACCTGTATTTGAACTTCCTGAGTCATCTTTGGATGTCTTAGAGCGCCAAATGTGGTATGTTCTATGCAGTGGGTAGTCAATAAATATTTGCGGAAAAGATAAATTAATACCTTAACCTGGATTGCAAACAAATTGGATTTGTTGTCTCTAGGTGTTTGAGTTCAGGAATTCTTTAAATATTGTCTGAACTTCCTTGTGTCTGCATCTGTGTTTATTCTATTCTCTCTGCCTAGAATTCCCTCAGTTTCATCTCTTGGAAATCTCAAGTTTGTGCAAGGTTCTCAGCAAATGACGCTGCTCCATGAAACCCACTTGCAGTCTCCAGCCAGCTCACATGGAGTCAGTCTGCGAACAGAGGAACTGGACAGGGTCACACCTGTGATTTTCCAAACCCCACAGTGCTCTGTGCCTTTCTTATCTCAGCCGATGGATAGCTGTGCCCTGCCTTTATTCACCCACTGTGAGCATGTGAACTTCCTAAGGTGAGACAGAGGGTGTGCTCTGTTGAACCACATGCGGAGACCAAGAAATAGTCATTGCTTCGTGAATTGCACGGTTCTTGTTTTAAAGAACAGCATTCTAAAAGCAAAGTCTACCCGAATGGAGACATGATGAATGTGGCTCTTCAATCAAGTCCTCAGAACATGGAGCTTGAGAACGTAGAAGCCATCAGTTGGTACTCTCTTTCACATGCGAAGAACCTCTGGTTCTGGGTGTCGTGTCGTTGGTCTTGGTTCAGATAAGCTGGCTGGAAAAGACCAGAGTTCAGCCAGCAGGTCTTCAGAATGCTCTGGAAGACATATCTGTGGGCATAACTTAACATGTGTCAGTTTATCCTTGAGTGTAAAGTGCACTTCGTGGTTGGATATGGTAACTGGCTAACTATTCATAGTTCCCCACTCCCTCCCGTTTACTGCCTGTTTCTAAGCAGCAAAGTTGTGGTTCAGTGACTTCTGTCTGGATAATATGAAAACAGGGCATCCAGCCAATTTTGATGAGCTAACTATTTCCTTAAATTATCATGCCTAAGCAAAGGGCCCCAAACCTGCTGTTCAACACTTATCATTGGATCTGGGGGATGGGCTACGCTCAGGCATATCATCAAATAGCTAAAATTTTACATTTAAGATCGTCAAGCAGTGAAAACTGGCATCCTTAGAAATGACTGACAGTTCCCCTGCCTCATTTCTGCTACACTGAATTAGGTAAAGGGGAAAAAAAATCACCTTCCCTCTTTTTACAGATTTCTTGCTGGAAACCCATGTGACAGGACTATAAATTTTCACCAGATTGATGGGAGAATGGACACTTCAAAGGTGCCTGAAAGACATTGCAAAAGGTCCCAATTAACAAAATGCAGCTAACACCTCAAAAAAAAAATAAATAAAATAGAATAAATGTTGCAGTGGGAATGAATCTTGCTCGGAGTGCTGTGCTGTTGGCTGATTGCCTGGCAAGAGTGGTGGCCAGGACTTGCCAGCTGGCTGATCCGCACGCCTGTAAAGGATGCGGTCAGCTTACACCTTGGATTATGATGGAAATCTTAGAGGTCGGCAGGCATTCTCCCTAGTAAAGTACCTTAGATCAGGTCACTGCTTTTGTTTCAGGGAAGAAAATGTCCTGATGGCCAGGATCAGTAAGACCAAGCCGGCCACTCTGCTCCAAGGGAGAATCCATTACTGGATCAGAATAGATACATACCCTGAAGGAGACACAGGTTGTAATTGAAGGTGGCACACTCATCTACAAAATCCCCAAGTTAAACCAGTCATGCCACTGAAGCAAACCAACTGGCTCGCCAACAACCACACATCTTCCCCCAAGTTCCTCTCAACAACCAGTTTGTCAGACTCTCAACTCCAGAGCTACTGGTGTCCTAGCCTCTGGTGTTTAATCGTGGTCAGCTGTGAGGAGTTGTGTTGCTTGTTTGTTCTGCGTAGATCTGAAGACAGAGATCAGGTATAGCCCCCACGAGGAGGGCTAGCTTAGTACTTGTCACAGGGAGGCATTCAGTGAATGACAGAGGGGCCAAAGGAGCTTCCATTGTCCAGAGTCTACACTGAACCTTTTAAAAACTGTTTGCAGAAATTGGCAAAATCTCTATCAGTCTCCCAAGTCTCCCAAATGGATTTATTTTTTGAAAGGTATTCAAAACTGACTTTAACATTTATTTTTTAAAAACTAGCACACAAAAATATCCAGAAAACAAAACAAAACAAAACAAAAAAAAACCCTGGGAAAGTTTGAAAGCCAAATTCGGACTGGGAAAAGCGTTTGCAAGACTGAAGATGTACATAACAAAGGGTCAATGTCCTTACTATAGAAGAGTGGACAAAGAACATGATCTGGGAATTTACAAAATGAGAAGGGACCTTTCAACATATGAAAGCATTTTCAACTTTACTAATAACCAAAGAATACAAATGAAACCATATCCCTCTTTCCATCTATTGATAGGGAAAAACTGTACTCTAAGTTGGCTCACCAAACCAGCAAGGGAATTCCAGTCCCTGTCTCAAAGCCCTTCCAGGTTCTTCTTTCCTATCCCGTTTCCCAGGTGCCCAAAGTACCAGGTATGCAGAAGCAGAAGGGTATAAATTCCCCTCCCTGCTTGTGTTCGGGGATCCGACCTTCGGAGAACAACGACGTCTGAGCTCTCCGGTGTTAAATAAACCTCCGATCCTCCAAAGTCTCTGAGTGCTGCTTGGTTCTCCAGCCAGGATCCAGTCCAGGTTCTGTTAACACTATCATATAAAGAAAAACCCGAGTTGTACTAGATGGGTTATTTGACACTGTCATACACTACCCATGGCAATGCAAAATAAAACCACCTTTCTGGAGGGCAAATTGTCAATATATATTTATATATATTTAAAGGTTTAACTCTATGACCTGCAGAAATTCATCCCAGTTGAATGAATAGATCCCAGGTAAATATGTAAAGATCTGTGTACAAGCAAACCCGAAAAGCCTAAATGTCAAACAACAGAAGATAAATCAAATGAGGTTAAGGTTAAACTACATCCATACCATCCTGTAGCCGTTAAATAAGTAAAATTGGTGTCTATTAGTTCGAATAGAAAAATATTTATAACACATCAAGAAAAAAAAGCAGGCCACAGAAAAGTATGATTAAGTTTTTGAAAAACATATTTATACATATACACATCTGTTTATATTTACACACATACACACAAACAGGTTTACTTCTGCAAGACAGCTGTGATTTATGCCTTCCTCAGAGTCTTTTTCATATAAAAAGATTGTTGAGTTTAGCTCTGTGATAATAAATATGAGGGTTTTGTTCAAACGTACTTAAAGGTTTTATTTATTATTTATTTACGTATTAACTTCCAAGCCAAATATTTAAAATATTTAATATTAAACATATCAAAGTATTAAATACTTGCACCAAATATTTAAAACCAAAGATTTAGTTCAGCCGACAGAGGTTTGGACATAGACAGGAGTCCACCAGAGGAGAACTACAGATGCTTGCTGGATTAATGATGAGTGTACTAATGGTTTGCTTTTTTTCCTCACCAGCAATCAGACGGGGTGAGGTTTTTAGAGTTAAATATTAGTCAGTGTGAAATGTGGATATATACATATGCATGGAGGAATGGGGAAGTTGGATTAAATGAAACCCAACAAGTCTCTCATGCCTTAGGTTTGCTCCATTATAAGCATATGCAGGCAACCCTTGATTTGTGCTGGATTGGCTATTGGAGGATTATTTCAAGGCTGCAGTTGATTGTACCATTTCAAATCTATGGAGGAGGGGAAATTATTGGGGGAAGGGAAAGATCGTTACAAAGCAGGAGAGGAAAACTATAAAAGGGTAGGAGAAAAAAAGAATCTCTGTTGTAATGTCTTAGAAAATTAGTTGGTGGAGAATAGTTGAAAATTACAAAAGTCGAATATAGTAAATCAAATTAGCATTAGTATTTGTGAGTATGTGATTGTGAAAAGACGGGCTAAATGACTAGCTAACTGTCTTTTCAAGACCATTGGTAATAGAATCAATTATGGTTCATTATTAACTATATTAACAGAAAATTAGCCTTTACTAGCTCCTAAAAATATGAGGTTGTTATAATAGACTGTGGTCCCTTATCAGCATATGTAAAACTTGGAGGTTTATAAAACAGCTCCCTTCCCAGAACTACACTAGATTAGATGATCAATTAATGACTAAAATGTTATTGCATCTCTTTTTCATATTTCTTGTCAAAAACTTAAATATTCCTGATTCAACTTGTGTTTCTATTTGAGTAATATAATTTGGTCATAATTGGTTTCATTTCAATTGTCTTTACATTTTGGATACTTATTATCTTTTCTGTCACCCACTGGGAATGCCAAGTACCAATTTTTGCTATTTAGCAAGTCAGTGAGGAGCTTCCCACTGAGTTCCTTAATTATTGCTAATTGAATATTGTAAATGGTTTTTCAGGATCACCATCTTGGCAATCTATGTGACATTTTTCTCAGTTAGCAAGAGTTAAAGCACCAAGAATCCCTTCTACTACTTTCTATACAATCATTTTATCAACCCTTTCCTATAAAAACTAGTCTCTTTTCAAATGTCAAGTCACATACCTGCTTCTGTGGCACTTAGAACATGGCGACTGCTCAACGAGTATTGAATAACAGCTGTCCTTAAAAACAGAATGATTCCCAGGTCCAGCCTTCGAGAGGATGTCCTCTTTCACTTTCCAGAGCTCCCACGGGGCATCTCATCCAGCATGTCAGGCCTGGTACTCTAGGGTAGAGCTTGTCCATTCTCATGTATCAAGACCAAGCTTTTTATTGTTTTTTGCTCCTCTATAATCAAAAGGGAAAAAAAAAAAAAAGAGGCTCAGAAGATCTGGGAATGTCAGAAATGCTATAGGTAAAAAACTGGAGAGTGGAAAAATCACTAAGCCAGCCTTCCTAGGTACTTCTTGCCTTACAATAAACAATAAAAAAAGAAGTGAGAAATTTATGACGTGCCTTTTGAACTTTCAAACTACGTCTCCATTTTTGGAGGAGGGAAGTGGGTAAGGCTTCAAGTTACTGAAGTTGTGTTGAAGGTGGGTTTTGATTACATAAAATCTTGCATTCTTAGTGATTTGTTCTCTTCCTTGGTCAATGAAATCTCAACCATCCTTAAGAGATCAGGACCAGAGGAAGACTTGAGACCTCATCTAGAATCTCCTTTCCCATCACGGTGGCCCAGAAATTTTTAGAAAGAGAGAGACAGCAAGAGAGAGTGATTGTCTCTTTGGAGGGGTAGGCTTCCACAGTCTTGGCTAGTAACCTATTTGAACATAAATGACATTTTTGGTCAGGATTTTGCCTTGTATCTAGTCAGTTGTTACTAAGTTTGGCAGGTTTCAGGTTTA